ATGGAGGCAAGCGCATGTTGGACCTCGTTCCATTAGTATCATTACATTCACCTTAATTTGGACAAGATTAAAGCTTAATTCAAGCGACATATCAAGATCATACAGACACCAAAAGTTCACTAACTTGAAATTCTTGAAAATGCGCACTTTGTTGGAGACAGGAAGGAGGCGCAACGCCGCCGTAATGGACTGGCCAAAAGGAGGGAGCGAATATACCGACGGCAGATTCCTTTCATCGGATTGGACCCTCCTCAATTCCAACGTTATATAAATTGGACCTCACATCTCCGTAGCATAATATCCCAAACTCACCCAACACTACATAAAAATCTTCGACATATCTCTCGTCTCTTGTCGCTTGTCTCTCTTGTCTCCTGCCTTCTCCATCACTATCATCCTCGATTTTCGCAAAACGGCAAAAAAGAAAAACAGAAAGATACATAAGGTGAGCAAGAGGACCACCTTTCTTCTCTCTTTCTCTACTCTTGTCCTAGTAAAAAATTCTCATATGTATTTATTTTTTCACTTGTTACGATCGACGTGAAAGATTCTAGAATGAAATTACAAAAATAAACTTTACGCTCTTTCCATGTCTTCGGCCTCTTTTTCTTCAAATCAATGGAAAATTGATCTCGATGGATATATTTGGTACGTCATTGGATATATATTGAATTGCATGGTAGCTTTTTGCGAGTATGATATGAACATATACTTCATTATCATTCAATCCGGTAAACGTCCAAGTGTGCATCTCGTGCGTGCGTGCATGGGTGGTCATGCCGTCATGCATGTCGGCGGGTCATAAGAATGAATTTCTTGTAGCTGCCTAGCCGGAGATGTTAGACATTAGAATTGTTCTCAATTATGTACTAAACCTTAGTTCAAATTGGCGCGCTTCATCATTACATATAATCCCAACATGGGTTCTCAAGATTTTCTCTTGAAGTTGCCATATACATGTGTGCGTCTCTTTTTAGACTCTTGGTTCGTGGTCATTAGTCAAACTTGTCCAAGACAATCATATCCATATTAACGCACCTGAATGTTCCTGCTCCGGTTTTGCTGCTTCAGAACAATGTGGCTAGTGCCTCCGTTTGTCTCCGACACTCTCGGAGGTTGGTTAGTTTCATGTGGATTAGAGAGAGTTCGATCATTTTTTGTCTATTCCTTGACCTTTTCCTCAATGGTCCACGAGACCCTTTGTGGACATATAAACACCAGTGTTTGAATTGGGGACTTCGTCATATCCGTATCATTTCACTCATCTTCCTTCCCTTCCCCGGAAGAACACGAAGCTAATGAAGAACGAGGAAAGTGGGAACTTCTGCTGAATCTACCAAGTTCCGCGTGGAAAGAAAACCGGTCAAGTATTTCTCCATAAATGATCATTTTGTCTAAGAATACATGGTAGTTCTGAGGGTGTTTTCTGTCTGAGGTGGTCCCTTTGCTTGTAAGATGAAAACGGCACATACCGCTTGTTGTTCTGTTCGATATTGCCTCGATCATCCTCTGTGCTTTCGACATAGCTCTTCACATTGATCATATTGAAACGGTTAATTTAGATCATGACATAGATCATCATTGGTTATCCTAATGTTATACCGTTTTGCAGATTGGAGAGAGAAGATAGAGGTCATTAATTTGGCTTGTGAGGAGGCTAACTCGACATGGCCGGTGAACAAGTACAAGTTCTGAACGCGCTAGACGTCGCTAAGACTCAATGGTACCATTTCACGGCGATCATCATCGCCGGTATGGGCTTCTTCACGGACGCGTACGACCTCTTCTGCGTATCCCTTGTGACCAAGTTGCTCGGTCGGATATACTATCACGTGGACGGCGCGGCGAAGCCCGGAACTTTGCCTCCAAATGTGTCCGCAGCTGTAAACGGCGTGGCCTTCTGCGGGACCTTGTCCGGCCAGCTCTTCTTCGGCTGGCTTGGCGACAAATTGGGAAGGAAGAAAGTCTACGGCATGACACTGATGCTCATGGTGATATGCTCAATTGCTTCGGGCTTGTCCTTTGGCCGCGAGCCGAAGTCCATCATGGCAACGCTCTGCTTCTTCCGGTTCTGGCTAGGATTTGGCATCGGAGGCGACTACCCGCTCTCTGCAACTATTATGTCTGAATATTCCAACAAGAAGACTAGAGGGGCCTTCATCGCCGCGGTTTTCGCGATGCAGGGGTTCGGGATATTGGCAGGCGGTGTGTTCGCAATCATCATTTCGTCCGCCTTCAACGCTCGGTTCACCAGCCCAGCTTACGAGGTAAACCCAATCAGCTCAACTGTCCCCGAGGCCGACTTTGTTTGGAGGATCATTGTGATGGTGGGGGCACTTCCGGCCGGACTCACCTACTACTGGAGGATGAAGATGCCCGAAACTCCCCGTTACACCGCCCTCGTAGCAAAGAACATGAAGCAGGCAGCTGCCGACATGTCCAAGGTTCTGAACATCGATATGGAGGCAGAACAGCAGAATGCCGAGAAGCCGCTGCCAGGGCTGGCAGCTGAGGATCGGTCCACTGGCTTATATGGCTTGTTCTCTAGGCAGTTCGTACGCCGCCACGGGCTTCACTTGCTTGGAACTACGAGCACATGGTTCCTACTCGACATCGCGTTCTATAGCCAGAATCTGTTCCAGAAGGACATCTTCAGCGCCGTTGGGTGGCTTCCCCCAGCAAAGACCATGAACGCGATCGAGGAGGTGTACAGGATTGCGCGGGCTCAGACGCTCATCGCCTTGTGCAGCACTGTGCCAGGGTATTGGTTCACGGTGGCTTTGATCGACAGGATGGGGCGGTTCGCCATCCAGCTGATGGGGTTTTTTTTCATGACGGTCTTCATGTTTGCCCTTGCGATACCTTATGATCACTGGACTCACAAGGAGAACCACATTGGCTTCGTGGTGATCTACTCCCTCACTTTCTTCTTCGCCAACTTTGGACCCAACGCCACCACATTTGTCGTGCCGGCCGAGATCTTCCCAGCCCGGTTCAGGTCCACTTGCCACGGTATTTCAGCAGCATCCGGGAAGCTCGGTGCCATCATTGGGGCGTTCGGGTTCCTGTACTTGGCTCAGAACCAAGACAAGGCCAAGGCAGATGCAGGGTACCCTGCAGGAATTGGAATCAGGAACGCCCTCATCGTGCTCGGGGGAGTCAACTTCTTCGGGCTGCTGTTCACGTTTTTGGTGCCAGAGTCAAAGGGTAAGTCCCTGGAGCAGATGTCAGGCGAGCTCGAGGATGAAGTCGAGGCAAAGCAGGCATTGGAGCATCAGCAGCAGCAGGCTTATAGTAGTAGGACAGTTCCGGTTCTTTAGATGCCCCGTCTGGCGGATTCCGACATGTCTTCTCTAGTCCGTCTCCGAGTAGGTCAGCTGAAGGCTGGTTTTCTTTTTATTAGCTACCGAGTTAGTGGGCTTGAATTCCCTCTCTCTCAGTTTCAATCCCTGGGTTTTATAATCACCTCAATTTGTAGCAGATATCCACGACTCCAGGAGTATAAGATGGTTGTACTGCTGCATCCTTCTCACTATCTGATGCGATTTCTGCGTTTGTAGTGAGACATGAATTGTCAATTTCTTACCAGTGCAAACAAGATGATCTAGTTTCTCCAGAACCGAACGCTTTTTGTTTGTTGGGTCGGTGTGGTTCCATGAAATTCTCGGGTAATCAAAACATCAGGAAACTGTAAAAACAGAGCACATCTTTCACTGACATCACACAATGCAGATTAGCCTGGCTGAGAAGTTTAAGAGCTCTGCATGTCTTGAAAATGCAAGAACTTCTGACGAAATTTCTACGGTAAAGCTTCTTCTCTTAGAACTATCGGAAGAAATCCTCATAGAAACTCTGTTTCTCAGATTCATCTGTCAGAGAAGTGTAGCATGTCTTTTCGGATAAGAAATTCACTAAAACAAGAAGCAGATTCATTGAAGAATTATTTACAGTTGCATAGACGACTCAATTTCCTAGAACAGGATGCGTCGAATGCAGTTCAACACTTCTGGGAATGTGATTCCGACCACAGCTGCAGAACTCTCGAGGTGAATACAATGTTTTAAGGATGCAGAGGAAGCGACACAGGCAGCGAGATACTACCGACATGAATTTTGCTTCTTATTCATTTACTTATATCGGGAGAGGAATGTAGCATTTCTTTCGGAATACTCTTCTCATATTGAGATACTTCTTGCTATGCTATGGTAACACATGCTTTGCTACATTATGCGAAAATCAAAAGAACACCACCAAATGACAGCAAAGATGATATGGCACTACAGCTGCGATTGTTACAATTGGTATTCACCAACATATCTTAATCATCGCTTTGTCCCCTAATAGAATCATTCCCCGCAATTAATCTATTCCTTTCGGAAATTGGTTCATTGACTGTCCACGAATAAAACTAGTGGAGCTCTTCTACATGGACAATATGCTACTTAAGTATTGTCAATGCCATGAAGAACATGAACACTACTAGTTCTCACAATGCAGATTGAGGGACCACTCGGTGGAGCACGAGGCAGTGACAGTAAGAGATAAAGAAAGCTCACCAGCCCAGAAGAAAAAAGCAAAGTGGTTAAATTTCAAAACTCGTTTTATTTTATAATTGGTTAGCGGGAGATCAAATGATAAGGTTTAATTTAAAATCGGGAGAAGAGAGATCCTCTGCAATTCTCCCCACTTAAAGGGCTAACGACAATTTGTCAAGTGTGGATTGAAACACTTCAAAGAGAATCAACAAGAATCCATAATGTGTCCTTATACACTACCCAAAACGCAAGTGAAATTGAAGTTACACAGCATTTCTAGAGCTGAAATTGGAAACACCTTTTACGATAGATCAGTAAGGAAGAAGACCAACTCAAATTACATCAAAAGATACTTCTGAGACAAGGATAAACTTATAAATTGCGAGACCATTTATTGAAGGGATCGATGCGCTTCTCTGCCTAAAGTAAGGAAATGAAAACAAAAAAATCATTTACAAGTCAAACTTAAGGTAAGTTCCGCAACCATAGCATATAAGTAATTCTGAGAGAATACCAGCTACTTAGCAATTGCTGTTATCCCAGAAATACAAGAAGGTAAAAGTTAAAGCAGATATGCCTTACGAGCTGATCATAACAAAGCCTCATATTGTGGTCGTCAATTGTAGCAACATCCTGTACTATTTACAGATTTTCCAGGCACTAAATGAAGAATATCGAATATCCGATGTAGTCAGGCAATGCATCATTCTTTGGGACAACAGAGAATCGTCAATGTTTAACCTGTAAGATGGTATATCAATTAGCACGCTCTTTAAGCACTTCAAGATCCATTTCTGTGGGGTCAGTAGCCTGAATCTCGTAATGAACACCGTCCAGATCCCGTCTGAATCTCTCTCTGGAGGTGGCATAGAGCATCTTGGCACGTATACGTGATGTTGAGGGAGACCTAATCAATGTTGCTGTTAAACAAACCCTCGTGATATATCATGAAGACATTAATCCAGAACAAAAAATTCTAGGTACTAGATCGCTAGCATCATCAAGAGAGCTAGAAAACTTGATAAGCTTTCCAGAACATAAAATAGGCAAGATCAGTGACACAAAATATGTCCTCAACAAATGCCCATAAAGGAATGAGACTAAAGGATTCATGGATAGATGTTCTAGTACGACTTTAAAGCAATCCAGATGACTACTGTGGTTTCAGTTCGCTTGCATCACCCAATATTTAATGAGCAGATAGTGGTGCCATGATACTTCCCACTATAGTAGGCCAAAGTAATGGCTAAGTAGTGCCTTCTTTTACTCCAGCTGAAAACAGTATCAAATAGTAATGACAATACGCAGATCGACAAACTGACAGGTGAGCTTAATGTTTCCCATTTTTCGTTTGCTAACATTCAGGCATCACCTTCATGACTTCTGAACAAATTGAACATTCTCACATTGCTTAGTTTGAGATGCTGAACAACTGCTAGAAATTAATACATGAGGGAGAAGGAAGTTCTTCATTTGCGCTGCATTGTTCAGTCAAAAGAGTGATATCCATATTGCTGTCGGTGAACTAGAGAATCATTATGAGAGCTACAAAGACTATACTTGCCAGACACATTAGATGATGAATGCCCACTTTTCTACTTCGAGTTTTCGTTTTGCAAGTCAAGGACTTCTGAGGAGATCGCTAAACCAGAATGAAATATTAAAGTTATAAAGTGCATTTAGACTAACCAGGCAATGAAGAATATCTTGCTCTTTTGGCAGTTATCAGAAGTCACAAAGTCGTAATCATAAACGGCATAACGGCAATCATTCTCAGGGAGTGCAGCTGCGAAATCCTCATAGCTTTCAGCTGGGCCACCGGTCTTCTCAACCACAACCTCCTTTTTTATCTCGTCAATCTTGAAAATCACATAGCGATGGACTCTCTTCCTCTTTAGATCCATGAAAGTGCTCTTGCTATGATCAGATACACCCATGCCAGATGAAGCATTTCCCTGGGTAAGGGGAATATAAAAACTCCTGACTCAAGGTTTCAAATGAGGTAATTCAAACAACTCGAAGTTCCTCTCTAGAGGAAGATCTAAACCAGAGTTCCGCACACAGAAGCCCCATTATGCTATGATGCTTCTAATTATAATTGCATACTTATGTTACAGAAAACTACAAAGCATCGTCTAATTGTATAATAGCCGAGGACAAGGTGGAATATGGGAACAATAAGGCGAAGTTTGAAATAAGTCAAATGCAGCCACTGAATTGCCGCTCAAAATGACATGAACCACCTGCACAGCATTAGGCTAATGGAAAACGATCAAAGTGGGCCGAACCATCAATTAATTTCCTTCTTGGAAATGACCTTTCGATGGTTATAACTTCCAACATTCCGAAGGGTGAACAACAATGCATGGCAATCTTAAACTCATAGAATCCAGCCAAACATTTTCATAGTCTAAGGGATGTCTTTTGCATTTTCCCGAGAAGAAAATACAGCCAGAGTATCCTTGTTATTCCACGGTTAAGTATACAGATTGCGATTAAGCAAAGAAGCAGTAGACAGCCATAAGTTCCGCCGATTTCAAAAGCAATCTTCTCCACAAGTATGCTTAGCGATCCAAATATCAGGCACGATGTTATCAGAGTATATTTGTGCGCAGAAGTGAAAATCTTTGAGCAAATTAAAGCAGCGATTGACATGTCCTCGATGATCATGTAAATTATCCGTGAACAAACGAAATCATCATTCACTCTAGTGCTGCTCACAACTCACAAGTGCAAAAACCAGAGGCGAATAAGCAGAACAAATACACCGTCCGTGAAAATCCAGGCTGTTCTAAGGAGACCCTTTTCAGGTAAACAACTATATCATCATCGCTCACAATCAGAATCCGAACTTTGGTAAAGAACTCAAACGAGCAACGCAAAGCGCGTCAGGGTTCGACAAAGAATCGCCAAAAGAAAAGAAGGATGATTGCAGAGAGAGGGAGAGAGAGGGAGAGAGAGATACCCGACTTAGCCATCTGAAAGACATGGCAGGCTGAGAATACCGCAGGTTGCAGATGCAGAGTTGGAATCGATGAAGAAACAACAGAGGATGGGCGTGCCTCTCAGATGTTAAAGACTCGTTCTAATAAGGAGAGGACCAGCCTTCTTTTCTCTCTCTTTTCTAAACCATTTTCTGTGGAGGCAACAGACAATAAAAGAGACTTGGGAACAGAGTTGAGTACTTATTTATCTGCAAAGGAAAAACCCAAAAAATAAAAAATAAAATCCATCAAGGTTTCGTTTGATAAATTTTTCAGCCAAAATAACACCGTTCTTATTTCATTTAGAGTGGCATAGGTATAGTGATAGAAAAATATTTATGGTAAATATGTCACGGCGGGTATAATTTAAGGTCTTTGGTGGCTTTTGCCCTTTATTTGAAAAGGAAAGTTCATTAGATTCAAACTACCGTCTTCCCGAGTTCCACGTGCATTTCATCATTTTCCGAGACACCAGTTAAAAAAGCTCTCTTCACATTAAATACGTTTAGCGCACAGAAAAGCTAATTGCTATAATGTATTTGGAAAATAGAGAACAGATGAAACACAAGTCACATACTTTCCAACCTTTTCCTCGTGGGGTGGCGAGAGGTGGAGGGAAAAACAGAGGAGAGAACGTCGTGCTAAGGAGGAGATTCGGATTGTACGACGAGGAGAGTTACGGGACCCGCTCATCTATCAGTGCGGGGACGAAAATAAGACAGATTGTACAACGTCAAATGTTCATATTTAAGCGAAATGTTATGTTCGTGAATGGAAAAAAGAGATTAATTCGTAATATTCAAATCGTGTTAAATGGACTTAAGGGCGTTTTCCGAAGCATCTAAAATAATTTTCCGAAAAAAATAAACAAAAAAGAAGTCAAGGATTGGGGTCATGGATAGGTTGGAGTTGGATGCATGCTGGACTTCCCTTTCCAAGAGGGAAGCAACAATCATCCCAAAGGCAAAACACTAGGTCTTGGGATGACGTGGTGAAATCCGCCTCAAAACATGTAAATCTCTCCGTATCTAGTAATGTCGATTCTCGATATTTCGGGAAAAAAAAAGAAAAAAACCAGACTCGTTAGGGATGAGCGATTTTAGGTTTCATATAGGTGGAACCCGCTTCTTAGAACAAGTTCCTCATTTTTTTGGAACCTGGACTTTGGAACTTGAAACATACCATTTCACAAGTTTCAGTTCAGGTCGGTCCTATGATCTATCCGGGTTCTACTTTTATTATTTATTGAAAGATTACAGTGAATCGTCATCTTTAATTATCATAACTTGCTTCTACAATCCACTGAGCACAACTTATAATTAGACATACGAAAACTATGAAAAATTAACGAAATAAAAGTCTGAGTCATATAATAGAAGTTCAGATTAGTGATACAAAAACTGGTGATCCTGTGGTATTCCATGGAATATCGCAGGATCGCGCGAAGACATAAATCAAGAAAAATACAAAAACTTGTGAACCTATCCGTCGAAACAGATTTCAACCTGGAACCTATCATGCATATTTACCGGACAGATTCTTATCAATCCGGTTATCAGGTTCCAAGTATGGTACGCGTTGATTAAACCATATCATGTTAAGAGTACTAACATCGACATTGAGAGAGAGAAAAAAAAATGAAGAAAATTTCAAATCGGGATTTGAAGCCGGGCCTTTTCTAGAAAGAAAAAAATAGTAAAGGAAAACTAAAACCAATGTAAGAAGCGATAGAATGGCAAGTGAGACGAGACAAAAAGAGAGGAAGGGATGGGTCGGTGCGTCCCCCGCACGCTAAGAGATTTTTGCTTCCGTGACAGGGGAGGGTTTCTCTTTTTCTTGGGACTTTTTGTATTCATTTCAATCCTTGTCCTTCTCTTTTCCCTTTTTGAACAATGAATCTCAATCTCATCATATCTTCCCTTCCCTTGCAATTTAATAATGAGAAAAGATAAAAGAAAAGGCCCCAAACGTCTCCTCGTCAAAAGGGCAAACGGCCATCATTGTTTCCCCCCGGCTTTCCAAATCCAAGTCCATCATCCCATGTCACATCTCCCCCCTATTCGCCGCATAAAAACCATAGCACGAAAAAAAATCGACATTAAATTACATAGCTTTTCACAACAATACAAAGGCGCAAGCCTGTCTACATCTACACAAAATCCATCGCTTGGATTTCGATTCAATAAGACCTTTTGGTAATATGGGATTAGGGAGAAAGAGATTGTGCACGGTTATACGTTTTATCCTTAAAAAAAGGTGCGGTCTACCCAAAAATGAAATGTCACTATTACTTATGGCGGTGGGGCGAGGTGGGAGCGGGAATTAAGGGTGTGCAGCTAAGCTAGTTCAATCGGGGAAATTGGAGAAATGGTCAACTTCTCGACCCCTGCGAATCTAGCCTAGGATCGATTTTCAGTTAAGTCGATTTCGAGGTAAAATGATCATCCGGAAGGAGGAGGGGGAGGAAACCTTCAAAAGGGAGGGTCGATGCTAAATGGGCCAAGCCAGCTCGTCACAGGGCTTGAGGCGGGCGACACACCTGGCAAGCCGCCGCAGCCCCTTGCAAACCGAGTTAGCCCAACCCGTTTACCATCGCTACACCGGGATTAAAGAAAATTATCGATACCTAAAAAATTCAATTAGATCATTTAAAAGTCCAAAAGTTTGATCCAATAGCGGGTTTGGTTCGGCTTCTCCGAAGTTAAACCGACCCGGCCCGTTTCCAAATTTTGGCGGGTTCAAGATCGAGCGTAATCGTTACGTTGAAATCAAAATCCCTCTTTTTTGACAATTTTTTGGCTAGGGTTCTAATCATAACCTAGGGCTCGGAGTTCATGAAATGCCCCCTTTTCCATCATCAATCGAGTCAATTAGGTTTCGCTTCCGAGTTTGAATCCCGTCCGTTTCCGAATTGTCCCGGCGAAGGACATGGATTCCGAAGGTAAAGGTCACTTTTTGAATTTGAATTGCGTCTTTCGATTCTTGGGATCTCGACGTCCGGAGATTTTCCCGGCGAAAACTTGCTGCTCTGGTTCTTGATTTTCAGGGCAAAGGCTCCCGTCTAATCCCCCGGCGATGTTGTCGTCTCTCCTGGGCAAGAGAGCCAAGCTTCACGAAGAACTCCGCAGCATCGAGAAGCAGGTCCTTCATCTCTCGGCATGCCCCTCTTTGTTTAAACCCGTCCGTATTGATCCGACCGTTCCCTTTCTTTCTTTGTTGATTGGTATTGTTGAGAGGGTGTTTCGCATTTGTAATTCCGCTATGATGCCGCGAGTTGTGAAATGGGTTTGAGTTAGTTTCGGGCTCTGCATCGGCTTGATCTAGATAGCAGAATTGTTAGCATTGTTGATGCATTGCTTAGAAAAGTGGACTTCAAATGGTTAAGTCTCTTGCTTTTTGTCTTAGCTGTGAAGCTAAGTAGTATGTCTTCTATCGTTGATAATCTGCTGCTGAGAAGAACATAATCTGGTAGCTTAGTGTTTTGTCTGGCTTTTGACCCTGTTATGTAATGACCGTTTGTTTCTCCGGCAATGAAGTTCTCGATTTTCTTTTTTTCAGGTATATGAGATGGAGACAAGTTATTTGCAGGACCCGAGTCAATGTGGGAATGTGCTGAAAGGTTTTGAAGGGTTTCTTTCTGCATCTAAGAGTACAGCCCTGTACGGTTACTTGATGTTGTTCTCAAACTCTCTTTTATATACCCTCCATATGCGGAACTCCGCCCCATTTCTCAATTCATGACTTGTGTATGGTTTTATCTGAATTTGTAACAGTTTGAGTGGAATGCTGTATTGGTTATCTTTAATGAAGAAACTGTCACATATTCTGATTATTAGATATCACTCCAACATGGGAATTATGTTGTTATCATCTTGAATATTAGGTTTGCCCGGAGTGAAATAAGAATACAAAATTAGAATCAGCTTTTCTCCATGGACTGTATTGCTTATGGGTATTTTACGCCCTACAGATTGTGGATCATTCTCTTAGGCTTTAATGGTCAACTGGGTGAGAGACTTGTTTGTTCTGTTTGTCTCACCAGACACTATTGCCTGCAATACCCTTGTACACTTAATAAGCTGAAAACTTTTGTGGTGTATCAGACTCGGAAAAAAGGAATAGGGAACTTTTTAGAATAGGATTGTTGCATTGTAGATGAAAATGTCAAGTCTCCATCCCTCGAGTTGAGTAGCATCTAAGAATGTCAATAAATGTGGACAGTGTGCTTCCTAAGGAATCAATTGGATATTCACTTGTAAATTGTTTCATCCCGCTGAGGGAGAGATTCAGAAATACAGGCCAAATGCGTTTATGGCCATTAGCAGAAGAGCACCTTAGAATTGAGTGTGCACATAGTAATGCATTTCTTTTTCTGCTAATACAAGGTAATGCTTCATAGCAACAACTTTAGATGCATCAGACAACTTACATTTGTGGTTTATTAAGGCATTTGATAATCTGTATGCACTGGTTGAATGTAGTGTCATTAATGCATGCTTATCGTACTCGTGTATTCTACAGCTTGAAGCGCTCGAGGAAATTTCAGCCTGAAGACAGGCTTTTCTCTTTGTCTTCAGTCACCTCACCAGCTGTATGTATTCTATAATGGCAGTTTCCGCATCCTTCTGAATTTCGGTCTTTTATGCAAATCTGTGGTTGACGATCAGTCGTGTGTTTTATGGAAATGGGAATGGAAGCCATTGTGGAAGGGGTCCTTGAGGCAGTTTACACCCTGATTGTATAGTTCAAATCTACACATTCAAGTTCGATAAGTTGTAGTCAAGTGTATTCTTGAGAAATTTGGTCATACATAATTTGCTAATTTGTTGTTTGTCAGTTAAAGTTAGGAGCTCTTGAACTCAGTTCGAGGAAGCAACGGAGTGCATGCTGTGTTAATGCGGCATGGGTACCCATATGGGGTGCACCAACATAATACGTACATTGACAATAACTCATTGTCTAGTGGAACTTGAATGTGACACTTAATATGGTTGCCCCCTTTTTTCAGATTAGTAAGCTCACTCCTTCCGTAAAACTAAGCAAGGGAACTACTACCTGCTACAAGCCCCTCATTACACTTTGAAAAGAATGTCAACATTCAGACATAAGTTTCAATCATGTCACTAGCTCCATGAGATTGAAGATTTTTCTTCATCAACATCTTCCACTTAACCACATACAGAATCTGCTTTAAAGAGGCAGAAACAGACGGATGATATGAAGCTTCAAATATCTTTCTTTCCAGAATAGACAGAGAAGGCGTTTCATAAAAAGCTTTAATGTTAGGACATGGAATAATTTGCCTCTAAGGTGTCTCGCAGCCCAACCTAATTTAAACTTCCAATCCCGGGTTGCACCGTGAACAAAATACTTTTCTAACAAGGACCTCCAAACATTTTTTTTTTTGGCTTTTCAATTGCTGCTTTGTTATTGTGTTGTGGGTCACTTGAATGTTGGTGCTTGTGGTATTGGTGGAAAAGATTTGTTATTGTCTCATGGTACCTGCAGCAGCAATATTATCTTTCTCGAGAAGAATCTAAAAGAAGAAAAACAGAAATTGAATTTTTTTGTGAGACTCTGTGCTAATGATATCTATTATAATGACTTTGTCCCTCCTTAAACAAGATTTTACTACTTACAAATTCATGGTTCTTCTAATAAATCAACCGTGAGAAGATTGTTGATAGTTCAACAAATGTCTACTCTTTTAAGACCCTTAATGTACTGTAAGCTGTTGAAGTTTGAGGATGCCATTCATAGAATGAGATTTGGCTGATTCTTATGGTATTGTCCTCTGTTTTTTTCGAAGGCTGAAGAGCTTGCAGGGGGAAGAGATGGTGAGTTACATTGATCTTTACGAGACAATTATTCTTCTTTGAGCTCTATCCTTGAACCCTTTTCTATGCTCTCTTCTTTTTTCCTTTTATCTTTTTCAGATGGGCGATCAGATCTTGGAGCTGGGAGATCTAAGGGGGGTATATATGCCAATGGGCAGTAAGTACTATGTTTCATTCTCTTTGTGGCTAACAGAATATGGAGGCCGTCTGGGCTCTCGTTGCTTTAATGGTCTCTAATCTCTTATGTCTGTAATAATTGGTTGAACTGTCATTATAGGGGAAAACCAAAGAAGGGAAGACCAACACCAAGAGATGCAAAGAAAAACAGGGCTGCTGAACAAGATTTTGACTATGAAGATGATCCTGATTTGACGTCCTAGATTTCCATGCTCCAGCATTTAACCTGTCTTTATAGAGGTTTTTCGAAACCATAGTTTTATGTAAATTTGTTCTTGCAGATATATTCTTTTGGTTTTTTTTACCCCCTTCTATAATTTCTAAATACAAATGGAAGCTGAAGTTGATGGGAACGCCATCTGAATATGTAGAGCTCCTCTTTCTTGGCAAATGCATATTATTTCCTCTTCTGTTGTTTATTGTAATTGAGGTTCGTGAATCCTTTTGGCAAGATTAGCTGGCTGCACATATATTCTTTTCCATTCTTAATGTGGATGGGACCGATCAGTGTTCGGTTCAAGGGCTCTTAGAGCGTGAATTCTTTACCATCAGCAAGTGTATCGAGATTATCACGTATTGTTATTGTGGATTCTTCTGCAATCACAACCGTCTTACAGGACTAATGCCAATCCACCATTTGATGATTTCACCTGAGTTCCCAGAAGTGCAAGTCAATTCAAAAAGGATTTCAGGTGGGTGAAAATTTGATGAGATCAAGAATAGTTCTCTTCCCATCTGACGAATCATTGTATTCGTCTTTCAAATGTAACAGCTAGAACACAAGACATCGATAGTACGTATGTTAGCCGTAGAAAGAAAGACATTTGGTCCTCATCATTATCAGGACAAATAATCAAATACAAGAGCAGAAAAACCAAGATGATCCTTGTACAAGAGCCTCTGCATGAATCAGATCGAATCACAAGGTAACATAGACTAGTAGACGCTGAAAGAAAGGTGCAAATCCCTCGGCACTTTCCATGCTCTCATTACTCGAGCCTACCACATTAATCTACCATCTGACATTATAATTGATTAGACGCGAGGATGATGCAACTTTATACATGAAAGTTGGCCTCGTCGAGATTCCAGCCTCCTGGGTTTCCATCAACTTGGCGACAATACTGTTCACATGCTTTGCTACATGCAGAGATGGTGGCACCTTCTTTGAGGCACACCGGCATGCAGTGTTTTCCGCACTCCGAGAGCGCTTCGCCGGGGGTGGCGGCGAAGGCCAACAGCAACGCCGCTGCCATGAGAATCGCGGCGACCGTCTTCTTGCTCATGGCCATCTTGATCTTTGTCCTGAACGTTTTTATGATCTGCAAAGTATAGTTTTTTGATCTTGTGCTTGAGCATTTTGGAAATGTATAGTACGTGTTCTTATATAAAGTAAGAGTTCTTTGTTTTTTTTGACATTTTCTATTTATGTGAAGAACTCATTGGTGGTCTGGAGCAGTAAATGGGAGAGAAATTTCAGCTTGGGAATGGTTGGAGTTTATTCACTCTACAATGTAATACACACATTCTTGGGATTTATCCGATGCATGTCTATTTATGAAGATTTCATTAGTTTTATCTCTTGCTCTACTATATATAAGAAAAAACAAATTAAATGACACTTTATTTTTTATCTGAAACAGAAAATTCCATAAACTAAAATTAGCAAAAATATAACGAATGGATGGATCCGCATTTGAAAATATAAGAGTTTATGGACATCATCTCATGTGATTTATATATAAATGACGAGTATGGTCAGATTTACTACGATTGATTTGCGAAATTAATATGTCAAATTGTGAGCAGACCTTTCAAACACGTGGGTTAATATTCAACAATCAATAGTAGTATGAGTCATTACTTATCAAACCGTTATTATAAACTAATTTAGTAAGTCTATCGTTTTTTTTAAATGAAATCTCGCGATCAACTTATATAAAAAAAATAAAAGAAATCCCACAACCGGGCATACAGTCTTAGTTACTATTATTATTATATATTCACACACTCAATCTTGTACTTTTTTTTTGTCGAACAATTTTGTACTTGAATATATCGTGATTGAATAAAATCTCTTAAAGCCAAGATCGCATAAATACAAAAGTGGGATCTTTCCTTTTTCAAAACAAGTTTGCGATATATAGGCCGCCTAGTCTGCTACTTTATTGGTTAGTGGAACCTGTCCTCACCAAGACGTCATCAATTGGTAATTATCTTAATTGGCCAAAGAAAAGCAAAAAAGAAATTGTGACCATATTTCATTTATTGAAGAATTGTGACAATGAATCCTTAACATAATAAAAATGGGATATTTGTCCAAAAAATCCTAACCCTATTGTATTGTATGGCGGTCAATTCAATCATAAACTTTTCAATTTGAGCAATTTAATTTTAAATCTTTTGGCAATTTGCCAATGTAGTCTTTCTGATTAATTTTAGCTAAAAATTATTAACATGAATGTTGACAGTTCTATATGATATGCTACCGCTAACATGAACAATTTTCGTAATTTTTTTTAAAAAATTTCTAAATTTTTTCCTTTTCGTTTCTTTCCTTTCCTTTCCTTTTTCTTTTTTTTCTATTTCCCTTCACTGGTGAGGCTTGGAAAATAGAAAAAAAAAAAAAAAAAAAAAGGAAAGGAAAAAAAAGGGAAAATATTCAGAAAATTTGAAATTTTTTTTTATAAAAATCATTAACGTCAGCGATTTTTGTTCAAAATTAACTAGGATGACTATATTGGCAAATTGCCAAAAGGTTTAGGAATAAAATAGCCAAATTAAAAAGTTTATGACTAAATTGATTGCCGTATAATAAATTTAGGACTTTTTGGACAATTTTCCATACCAAAAGTCCACTACCTTGTCATGGCAATCTTTAGCAGATACATAATAAAGTAGGGTTTCATAAACAGCATGTGAATAAGACAAGCGATGCATGTGTGCTTTCGAAGTGCCTAAGAAAATTTACGAGGGAGTGCGATCAATTTAGATACGTGGCGTCATGTGCAAGTACTGATTACTTTTAATTAGTTAACGTGTGGAGGGGGCCTCTAGCAACAATCCCTCTGGAAGATGATGTAGCGAAAGGACATCGCATGCGCTAACAAAGTTGATTTCTTTTAGTCTTCAGTTACTAGCTTTTGCATAAATGACGAACGAATGACCACTAGTTACGTAGTGAAAGTCGGGTGAGAAAGTGGGACGTCGGATGGATTTGATCTTGCCACCAAATCTCGTAAACGATCATGATCATATCGAGATCGAGATCGAGAGAGAGATAGACGTGTAAAGGCAAGATCTTCGGTTTGTTCACCAACCTTTATGAAAGCCACCACAAATTCAAAACCTTGGCGAAGAGAAGTCGCACAGGGAAGACATATGCAGCTCTCCTTCCAAAAGGTTGCCTCATATATTTATGAAAACCTCGAGCAGGGTTCAAAGATGTGGGATGTGACGGTGGTGTTGGTGGTGGTGGTGGTGGTGGTTAAGATCCATTTGACTTGGGTGAGAATAGTGGCACATGATGTGATTTTTTGTAAGCCCGGCATGTTAATTTCAAAACCCTAAAGCTAAGAAGGAGAATACTTTCACATTGTATAAATTTAAGCCATTAGAGAGTGACGCGCCTCGACATTTCTCTTCATTCGTCAATGTAAGGTTTAAGGAAAGCTCGAAACGCATGCGTCATCTACATCGTGTTGGTAAAGGCCTAGCAAGGGTTGAAATTTCGGGAACCAACTAACTCAGGAAAATTACCCAATCAATCCTAAACTTATTGTACGGATGTCAATTCAGTCATGAACTTTCCAATCTCGGCAAATTAGTCATAAACATTTAAGCGAAATTTCAATGCAGTCCTTCTGACAAATTTTTGCCAGAAAAATCGCTAATGTGGCGGTCCAATCATCTCCGACCGTGGCGCACCGCCGCGTCAATGATATTCTGGCGAAAACTAGCCAGATTAGTTATATTAGAATTTCGCGCAAAAAATTTAGGACTAAATTAGTAAAATTGGAAAGTTTATGACTGACTGGACATTCGTACGATAAGATCAAGACAAATTGGATAATTTCTCCCCGACTAGCTCAAAGGGTTTAAGGGAAGGGCACCGGTAATGATTGGTGACGGAGAAACGAAATGCCTCTTCCAGTCCCAGGCATGATTGGGATTATCTTAAAAAAGGTTTCTTTTCCATACTAAACTCGAGCTCAAAACTATGTAACTCGAACACTCAAGAAGAATTTATCTTTTCAATATGTTTTTGGCGAGGAAATGATTCTTCTTTTGTGACCAATGCATACGGATATGCCCCCGCCAACAGAATAAACGTGGGAGTAATTAGGTCTTGCTTAACATAAGTAAGTGGCTTCACTTCAAAGGTATGAACTTTCTCAGGGAAAATTACCAAAAAAGTCCTAAACCTTTCGCAATTGTGCCAATTCAGTCATAAACCTTTTTTTTTTGCCATTTCAATCCTAAACCTTTTACAATTGTGCCAATTCAGTCCATCCGGCCACTTTTGGCCGGCCGGCACTGACGTGGACGCCGGCCGGCTGACGTGGCATTATTTTAATATTTTTTCCTTTTTTTTTTCCTTCTTCCCCCTGGCCGAACCGGCCAGGGGGAGGCTCGCCGGCGAGGCCGACCTCGCCTGCCATGGCGAGGTCGAGCTCGTCGGCCATGGGCGACGGCGAGGCCTCGCCCAGATCTGGAGAGACCTCGCCGTCGCCGGGCGAGCTTCATGGCCGGCGAGGTCGACCTCGCCCATGGCCGGCAAGCTCGACCTCACCATGGCTGGGCAAGGTCAACCTCTCCCATGGCCGGCGAGGTCGGCCTCGCCATGGCCGGCGAGGTCACCTCGCCGGCGAGCCTCCCCCTGGCCGGTCCGGCCAGGGGAAGAAGGAAAAAAATATTAAAATAATGCTACGTCAGCCGGTAGGCGTCCACGTCAGCGCCGGCCAGCCAAAAGTGGCCGGATAGACTGAATTGGCACAATTGTAAAAGATTTAGGACTGAAATGGCCAAAAAAAAAAGGTTTAGGACTGAATTGGCACAATTGCAAAAGGTTTAGGACTTTTTTGGTAATTTTCCCAACTTTCTCATGAGAAATGAAAGAGAGAGAGAGAGACCCCACTCGGTCAGGGAGAGCACGATAATTAAAAAAATATATTAAACTTTCTAATTATTGGATTAAAAGCTAAGCTGTGGGAAAAATTGGAGTTAAGATTAAAATTAGCAAAAAGGACTTGGTCTTCTCTCATCATTCGCTTGCAATGTGTATTGGAGTCCAATCTAATTCGTTGAATTTTGGGGATTTGGACTAGGACGGGATTAGATGCCCATTTCCTTCGTAGAAAGTGGCATGGCTTTCTTTGGTGGTGGTGGGTACGAAGTTAGACTTGGCCTCACCTAGATTGTCAAATTTAAGGATTTTCAAAATAAGCTTTTTGTATTTTCAATTCCTATTAAATAAATAATTGTACACCTTGAACAAAATAAGTATTTCTCACCTAGAGAAAAGTATGTTTGATGTTTTTGCCTGTTTGCTATTTTATGTTCATATATAAGAAAGGATTTCAAAGTGGCGATTGTTGTTGCGGAAAATAATTTTTATTGGAAGCTTCTACAAAGTCTTCTACAGAAATGATTACTTGAAAATTTTTGTGCCACTATTGTCACCTCAAACATGACTTCTAACACTTTCCTTGTGGCCACTCTTACCTCTGAGATTTTGCACCAATTCATAACGTGTTTGTTTCGCGAAAAATTAAATTAATTAAAAAATGTTTTTTTAAAAAATAATCGCTTTTATTGCTTATAAAAACAAATTAACTAAAAATATTTTCATTACCCACGAAAATATTTAGACATAAATTGTTGTTGATAATGAAAGTATTTTTCATTGACTAATTATTTTAAGCGACATAAACAATTACTTTTAAAAAAATATATTTTCTAAATTATTCATTTTTCGCGAAGCAAGCAGAGCCTTAGTTTCAAAACTCAACATATTTTACGTCCCAATATTTTAAAATTCTACTCTTCACATCTGGGATTTGACACCACCAGAAAAGGATTGGGAAAATGATAGAAATTCAAGAATGCAAGATGTAGTTTTTGATTAATATAACGGGCCAAAAACCATTAAAAAGTTATCAGTGGAAAACTCCAACTTTATCACCAAATAGGAAAAAATTAAGACGTTGAGGGGGAGTGGACAAAAGTTCGATGGATGATCTTAGAATTGAGACTGTAATTGCTTACCAATCTGCACTAGCTGCCTTCTTTTTACACGTGTGTTTTTTACTTCCATAAGCCAGTTTTGTCTGAAGTTACACGTGTGCATGTGGTAAAATTATATTTTACACAAGCAGAACTTTTTTTTGGCAAATTGTAGTAGATTTCCATCATTTAATTTGAAAAAAAAATTGCAAATGGGGAATTTTTTAACTTAAATATAACAGGCGTGAGAATTTGGTGGATTAAGTATATGTTAGATATTAATCTATGGTTAGCATTAATTTTAATAGGACACATGAATTCTTGTGCATTTTCTGTAATTGTTTGAGGTTGAGACTGTTGAGATTACTTTCTACACCGTGGAAGTCAGGGCATAAAATGTCGCCCCTAAAAAATTAAAGTTGGTGCAGTATAACTTATAAAATAGAGAATGCAAGCTACAACTTAGGAGAAAAAAATTTAGCATACTCATTTAGTATAATATCGAGGTAAGCCGAGTTTTGTTTTTACTTTCACCTTTTGCAAAACGGGGAATCTTACTTTAGATAGGTAAAGCCCCACACTCACATAAATCCACTAATCAATCTCATTAATCAGTTAATTAAAACGTGAGCTGAAACCAAAATGCGATTGTACAACAGAAACATTAGATCGTTTACGCTTAGTCGTGTGAAAAACCGAACTCGTATTGTCTACCCTGATCCGTACACGTGCGTTCCTCCAAGGAAACAACTCAAACAATGGTTTGCCCACGCCAAGCTTACATCCAACTTTTGACTTGAACATGAGAGAGTGCTAAGAACGAATTAAGTGAGTAATTACTTTAATTAAACCTCATAATCTTATTAGCTACGTACAACATCATCTCATGATGTGGTGTGCATTGAAAAACAAGAGTACGCAACCACACAAGTCGCAACAGAAGCTTAGAGTCATAGAGCCACGGACCCTCCTCCAACCTCCATTAGGAAAAGGCCGCCAATTTTCCAAGGTTGACCGGGATTAGCTTTGACCCTCGAGGACGAAAAACCAGCCTGCCCCAAAATGACCTTAACCTTCACGAGAAGATCGGGTCAAACTGATGTCCACTTGATGGGAGACTCGAATGAGAAAACTCCCTCGCATGCCGTCCTAAATTTGCGAAAACCAAGGAGAGTTCGAAGAAAACAATTCGATCCTCCCATGTTTGATCTCTTCCCATCATAGTCCAGTCCTAATGACGTACTCCTACGATTCGATTTAGAAAATTTAGCAAAAGAAAACGACGGGAGAGAGAGAGAGAGAGCCGGGGGCATCCTAGGAGTCCGCCACGTGGCGTCCCGTTGCTCGAAATTCGCGTGGTGACGGTATTAGGGTTTGACAATGAAGGGGCACCGATGGTTGACTGCTTCTTTAGAATTTCTTGGCCTTGGGTTCAATGTCAAATTTGTGCGAGTACAGAGATTTTTTGGCTGACCCAAGAAGTCACTTTGAAATGTGAATCACGCTTTGGGGAAGAATCTTGTGAGGAAGGTAAACGTCGTCGGTACACTAGTTTGTCTACCGACAAGATGTGTTGCCCTATTTTGACCATCCCCGTGTCCTTCTGTTCCTCGCGCATAGAATTGCAAGAATTGGACTTAAGCATGCCCTTAAAAAACTTCATCTCGATTCTCATTTGGATCTCGAGATTATCAGGATGTAAAATAACTAGCGGATATTCACTCTAGAGAGATTTGGGGATACAAAACGTGCGGGCACCGACACGTTAATATAAAGAACGCATCCGTAGAGCCTGCTCCACAGGGATGGGACAGGCCACGAAGGCTCTCATAGGAGCGAAAGCTCCATTCCTTTTGTGAGGATACCTATTAACCGAACATCAAAGATCTCTACCTTTTGTGTTCTTTTCTTACTCGCGAATAGAATTGCAAGAATCGTTAGCTCCAAAATTAGGGTTAGTGTCGGAGATAATTAAGCTAATTGCCTAGCTCGTTTATTAAGTGACATGAAAGATTATGTCCAGCGTTTAAGCACGGAATCATTGAATACAAGGGCCCATCCATTTCAACATTAGAACTGAAATTTGTCGTGATAATTAGTAAGTCGGTATCAATAAGACTTCTGCACCACGAAACGGGAAAGAGACATGGGCCGGGAATAGAGAGGCACGAGGAAGACAGAGACGGACCGGAGGTCGGGGCAGAGAGAGCACGATATGGCATCGGTGCCGGTGACAGCGGTAGTCGGAGGTAGAGCAGCAGCTGGCGTTGGCCGCGGTGGTTGGAGGCAACTAGTAGTGGCGATTGGAGGTTGGTCTAGTGGTGAGAGACATTGGGGATATATTTCGACAATTAGGGATATGTCTATCTGAAATTTTTTTTTTATTGGTTCTATATAATTGATATATGATGCAATTAGGGGTATGTCGAATATGTGTCAATTCACCACACAAATGAGCTCCAGTTTTCAAATTTCGTAAAACAAAATCCTTCCAATCATTATAGATAATTACAAAATCACAATTAATCCAATTGACTAACTAAATCATATTGAGCTTTATTGGTTTCTGTTATAACTAGAAAAGATCCTACTTATAATTAAACCTATACGTCACGAATTGAACCGTTTTGTTGACTAATATATTGAAATAATGCACATCGAAATCAATTTACTTAATTATAGCATTTTAATGTAATTATAGTTGTTAATCGCCAGTTCCATAAGATGAAAGAAAATCCTTTTTGAGAGTGTGGCACGTGGACTTCAAACAGTAACGCCAACTAATTTCCATATAAATTCGGCACTAATCATAACTATTGGAAATCCGGACGAGGGATATCTTGTTTGTTCTCAGTTTCATACTCTTTTCGCGGAATTTTAAAATTCACCTTTTTAATCACATGACCATCTACATGATTATCGTCTTGAACATATGGATGTGTTTCCGCTCCACTAGTTTCATAATGACACATGCCATTGTTCCGAGACTTCTTTAAAAAGTTTATCGGAAATCGAGTCACTTTATCGATGCGTAATGTCTTGTCATAAAATATTCTTGTTTCAGAGCATGATTGCATAGGTCTACTTGAAAGCTCATTAACACCGTGCAACCCTTATAAATCGATTAAGTCCCAGCTTTTGCTGCCCTGTATAGGTGACCTTGATCCTATACAGTGGGTACGCAGTTTGTGGGATTCCAATAAGCGACGCATAATCATTAGCGCTAAACCTCGGTTGAAGTGGTCCTGGAGAGAGAGAAAGAGGGGTGTGCCGGCTGGATAATATGCCACTTTCTAAAATGGGGGCTTACTGTGGAATATGCGTACCGACCAGTACCGACCAGTACTCACATATATTCAATGGAATGTCCACTCAACACACTCTCTCAATAGATATATATACATGGAGAGAGAACGCTCTTGGCTAGCTACCCTAGCTTGTAAGAGTGCATAGAGAGAGCTCACAAGCATATATACATATCTCAGCTTATGCTCAAGTCATTTAAACTGCTTCACTACTAGAGAGAGAGAGAGAGAATGGGGAGAGCTCCGTGCTGTGAGGAGATGGGGTTGAAGAAAGGCCCCTGGACCCCCGACGAGGACCACATCCTCATCGACTACGTCCAGGGTCACGGCCATGGCAATTGGCGGAAACTTCCCAAACTAGCCGGTAAGTGAATGTATTCACGGTTGAGTGCCTGTGGTTCGTTAGTCACCAATATGAGAACGATATGCTATGAATTGAATCGCCATATAATGCCTGATTGTTAACATTTGTCTACTTTTTTTCTTCCATTTCGTTTGTCTTATCAGGCTTGTTGAGGTGTGGCAAGAGTTGCAGGCTCAGGTGGACAAATTACTTGAGGCCAGACATCAAAAGAGGTAACTTTAGCAGAGAAGAAGAGGACGCCATCATCCACCTCCATGAAGTGCTTGGGAACAGGTTTTCTTTCTCTCCCTCTTTCCTTTCTTTCCTCCCTTTTTGCATTCAATAGCAAAGTCCGACCACTGGTCCTTCAGAATTACGTGTGTTGAGCTCTGTGAATTCTTTCTTTACTTGCTTTGTCGTCTTGAAACAGTAGAGCAAAGTTCAATGAAAAAACACGTAGCATTGTTGCACCCACCGATTAAATCTTCGGGTCTGCTACTTCGAAACCATTGAGGCAAATCGTGAAATAACTGCAAAAGTCTAAATGCCGACATAGATGACTAAGACCATGCAAGCAGGCGCAATTCTTGTCTAAACTCAGTCTACTGTAGAGACATATCTAGTAAATCTATTCATCTGTGCACATTGACGACGTACACGTGAGCGAGATTGTACTATATTCGACAAAGGATAAATCCCCTTTTCCCAAAATTTGGATGATCATAGCTTGAAAACCTCTTCTGGGATTTTTAGTGGAGGACCCCAATAAGCATAATTAAAGTTCATTCCTTTCCATGTTCAGCCCGCCTTTTTGGATTGGCAAAGATTCCCCGTCTGAAACATGTTTGTTTTACTGTGTCTTGGACCCCTCGTGTTTGTGGTTGCTCTTGTCTTCGTGCAACACACAAAGACAAGACCAAGGACAAGGCGTTATGCATCCGAGTATCGATTTGTTTCCACCCATGTTGAAGCAAATGTATATAAACAGTTTCGATGCACCTGACGCGATCCTAATGTGACCTGTATTTTTTTCTTCAGATGGTCCGCGATAGCAGCAAGGTTGCCGGGACGAACAGACAATGAGATAAAAAACGTGTGGCACACCCATCTGAAGAAGAGGCTAAGAAAGGACCACGAGTCGTCGTCGCTCGACGATGTTGCATCCAAAATGCAAGTCACGACGTTGCATACCAACAACGAAGCACGTGGTAAATATGAAAGCCATGGCGGGCCAATCTCATCTCCTCAAACTCAACAGAGCTCAAGTAGCACGTCTCTCTCCTCCACAACCACGGAAGACAATAACAGCGACGATAATAATCGCGACAACCGCGACAATTGCATCCACAAGGAGCTCAAAGATGCAATCTCCGGGTTGATGGACGAGAGTTTCTGGTCAGAACTGATATCATCAGACGACAATAACTCAGCCGTGACTGATGATTTTCTTGCGGTTAGCAGTGAGTTCCAGTCGTCCCTAAGTTCAAACGTTGGACCGTGGGACATGGACCAGGGTGGGATGGTGGATTGTTTTTGGTATGATCTCTTCAAAGGAGCTGAATTAGCAGATGTCTAGGCGACAGTTGAGGCAACAGTCGCAAGAATTAGTCGATTTCTTCTTCTTTTTTCTGTTTTTTTTTCCTTGTTCTTTTGCGTTTTGTATTGGGGTTCAACGTGCCGACTTGAGGAGTCATGATTTTGAAGGTGACCACTGATGTTAGCGACCAGAATTAGCCGACCAATCGAAGTTGGGCCAAACAATGATGAGGATCTGAGGGTGCCGCGGGGAAGCTTTCAAACATGTCGGGGAGAACTTGTTGTATATGTACCGAACACACATAAGGAGACACCATTGTTGCTGATTCTCAAATGGATGACCGTCCTGCACTAATTATTACTTTCATTGTGCGGATCAGCCGGAAACGAGTATTATATTATTTCTGTTTAACCGCCTTGCTGCTCAGTACATGTGTGAATAGAAGAGGAAATGGAAAACGTAAAAGGATCCGGATTCAATCACATCATCAATTTAACCTAACTTTTATAAAGAAATTCTTAAAGTTTAGAAGAACTTACACCCATGTCCACTAAGCCAAATGTCTCTCTCTCTCTCTCTCTCTCTCTCCCTCTCTCTCTCTTGCCATCGTTGTCGTCGATAGGAATGATAGCAGGACGAGCTTGGGACGTCATACCCAATTTCAAGCCCATTGCACCAAGTGTTGCTACCATCCTGGACTTGTCCAAAGGTTATTTAGGTTGAATTCCCGAAACCGTCCGTTCAACCAATACCCGCCAAGTTCGAACTTACCCAAATTTGCTTAGCTTACCTCAGTTCCATTGGGCCGTATAGACAAGAGAGTCAGACTTGGAGCCACCACAACCACCAAAGCTGCCGAATCTCCACCGCCAGTGCCGCCACACATGGTCATCGTGCCTCGATTTGGGGCGGTGGGGTATGGCACAATTGGCGGCACCGATGGCTAGAATCGCAAGACAAGACGGGTAGCCACGTACGGGGGAGGAGGATGTGCTCGATGCAAGAAGAAGAGCGACAAAGGGAGTATTGGAAAAAAAAAATGGAAAGGAAAAGGAAGCAAAAAAAAGAGAACATGTCTCAACCGTTGAAATTCAGTATGTTGATGTGTCTGTCTTTCTCTTATTATGGTAAATTTTAAATTTTGTTTGCTGAATTTAGATGGCTTGGATCCTAGACATAATAGGGATTACATGCAGCAGGTCCATCTAACTTATGCCCGAGATTCGTCAAATTCAACTGTCTAAACGAATATAAGGTAGATAAACCCTTATTTTGTGTAATCTCGAAGGAGATGGATTATGTTCTCCAATTCTAAGTGTTATGAACACGAGTGGGACGATATATATGTTTGTAACACACAATTCACTTATTCAATCGACTAGAAATTATGAAAGGAAAAATCAGACAACAAAATCAATTTAATCCGGTCTACTCGACCCGCGTCCACAAAGATCGATGATTCAAAAAGATAATAATTAATAAAAATCTAAGTAGACACACCCGAAAGTAAATAGAAGAACTAATAACAAATCAAAAGCCAACAATGATGGGATTCAACCTTAACATAAATCTTATTAAATGAATCTCATGCGTCGAACATGATCCCAAGAAAATTTCCAAGGACCTAAATCCTGTAGAATAGCTACTTCTGATACAATTCGTGATAGAGTAGGGTTTGGTAATTAGCAATTGCAATATGTTGCATGTTTATTCAAAATTTTCGAAAAGAATCTCCTGGATGGATCGCACACTCCACGTGTGTGCGTGTGGTTGGCCTGTTCAAATCATAAGATAACGTGAAGGAGTTAATTAATCATTTAAATGTCCAATTTCCCAATAATACGCCTTAGGCAATGTTTTAGCCAATAGGGATCATTTCTCTCTCTCTTTCTCCATCTCGAAATAGTAGAGCACATGGATTCCACCGAGTGTGCACTTATCAACCAATAAAGACATGTCTTTAATTAGTCATGGAGCAGAAGAAGATCATGTTAGATTTGGACTTACCAATCACTATTCTAGTGCATCACATGCATTGTTAACGCCGGAACCCTCATGATAAAATATTCTCTTCGCGAACAGGAATTAGATTAAAAAATTTGAAATTTTCAGTACATCACTTAAATTTATCATTAGTACGATGAAAATGTAAATGGATATGATAAATTAAATATGATGAACAATTAAATGCCTGCAGATCTTGTAATAATCCGACAGGGTTTGCTCTTTTGTATTGCTTCCAAATTCTTCATAAGATTTTGTCACCTCTAGTTGAGTGATCTCTCTCTCTCAATTTCGCTAATGAAGTTATTAAAATGGTTGACACCTAATTAATTCCGATTTGAAACTCCACAGCCCAAACCCATTCTAATTCATTATTGGCAAGACTTATTCGAGTTAGTTAACTAAGTCAAGAGATATGTTTAGGAGAATTTAGAAAAATGTACATGAAACTTCATCTAGATATCATTTATATATTTCTATTTTCGAAAATAGTTGTCTGCATCTTCACTTTATCAAAACTGTCCACCCATTTATAATTTTGTCATTTTCCTTCTAAAAAAGCTCTAATCCCCCCATGGCCCTTGCAACCCGAGCTCATTATCATGACTCTCTCTCAGGTTGGTAGATCTCAAATTTATCTGCTGAATTTTAGACATAAAAGTGATTACATGCAGCCCAATTTGCATTCAAACTAATGAGGTCCATATAACTTATGCCCGAGATTCATCAAATTCAACTGTTTACACTATTATAAGGTACTTTGTTAAAAAAAAAAAAGAGAGACTATTATAAGGTACAAAAACCCTAATTCTGCATATTCTCGAAGAAGATGGGAGACGGAAGGTACGTGGATTATGTTCTCCTATTCTAAGTATTTTGAACATGAGGGGGATGATATATACGTTTGCAATGAAAAATTCACTAATTCATTTGGCTAGAAATTGTGAAAGGAAAACTCTGAAATTAATTTAATCCAGTCCAGTTGACCCGCATCCGGAAAGATCGATGATTTAAATACATCTCAACATTCTAATTATTGAAATTAAAAATTATAAAAATAAATACACCCGGAAGTGAATAAAAGAACTAAAGCCTATCACATACCCCGGAAAAATATCACATATCAAAAGCCAATAATAATGGGATTCAACCTTAAGATAAATCTTAAATGAGTCTCATGCATCGAACATAATCCCAAGAAAATTACTAAGGACCTAAATCCTGTAGAATAGCTACCAATTCCTGATAGACTAGGGTTAGCAAATAACAATTGCAATATACCCCGTGGATCGCACACTTCACATGTGTGGTTAGCCTGTTCAAATCAAAAGAAAACGTGAAAGAGTTAATTAATCAATTAAATGTCCAATTTCCCAATAGTACACCCTAATCATTGTTTTAGCCAATAGAGATCATTTCTCCTCTTTCTCTTTCTCGAAATAGTAATATCAAGATCTCTAAGTATAAAGTCTAAGAACACATGGATTCCACCGAGCATGCACTTATCACCCAGTAAAGGCATGTCTTTAATTAATCATGGAGCAGAAGAAGATCGTGTTAGATTTGGACTTATCAATCACTACGCTAATGCATCGCGTGCATTGTCAACGCAGGAACCCTCATGATAAAATATCCTCTTCACGAACAGGAATTGGATTGAGAAAGATTGAAATTTTCAGTACATCACTCGTTTCCTTTTATACATTTTTAGTACGATAAAGATCTAAATGGATATGATTAATTAAATATGATTGACAATTAAATGCCTACGGATCTTTTAATAATCCGACAGGGTTTGCTTTTTAGTATTGCTTCCAAATTCTTTATAAGATTTTATCGCTAGTAGATGAGTGATCTCTCTCTCATTTTTCACTAATAAACTTATTAAATGCCTAATCACTGAGGTTTACGCGAGTGGTCACCCTTCCTACTTGAGATGAGGGAGATAGGGAGTTCGATTCCCCGCCTTCTCATGAGTGCTAGGGGTGGGGATATTTAATTTCAAGATGTGGGTTTCGACTCCCACGCTCTGTAAAGAGGCAGGGCAATAATAATGTGAAAGTGAGTTGAGAGTTAGAGTAAGACAGACAAAAGAAAAAAAAATATTAAATGCTTATTGTGATCTACAAGCATCCCCTTCTTGAATCTCTCAAAAGGGTTGACACCTAATTAATTCCGTTTTCAAACTCCAAAACCCATTCTAATTCATTATTGGCAAAACTTATTCGAGTTAATTAATTAAGTCATGGGATATGTTTAGGAGAATATAGAAAATGTAAATGAGGTTTCATCTAGATATATCATTTATATATGTCTATTTTCATAAATAGATCTCTGCATCTTCACTTTATCAAAATTGTCCGCCTATTTATAATTTTGTCACTTTCCTTCTTAAAAAAGCCCTAATCTCTCTCTCTCTCTCTCTCTCTCTCTCTCTCTCTCTCTCTCTCTCTCTCTCTCTCTCTCTCTCTCTCTCTCTCTCTCTCTCTCTCTCTCTCCATGGCCCTGGGAGCCCGAGCTCACTATCATGGCCACACCAGATCTGAGCTCGCAGCCACCAGATCTAGCATCTCGCAATCAATGGCTACTCGATTTGGATCGAGTGGTGAGGGGAGCTGGCTGTTGGCAAGCCAAAGTCATTTTCTGACTATGTTTATAAGTTAGCGATTACACGTGAACTATGAGTGAATTCAATACAATACTGACACATGAATTGAAACTTTATGGAGCTGCTTGTAAATGCTACGTACTGTTCTTAGCAATTATCGTCATATAACCGAAGTTAACTATATCTTTCTCTCGCCCGAGGAATTAATTAGTTTATTTGGGAAAGATACTAAAAACATACTTCACTTTTATTCCGCTGATCACTTACATATCTCTAATTTTGTAAATATCATTGGTATATCTCGAAGCAAGATCTCATATTGAAAAGACCAAAGTTCCCCTCGTTGCAAAACTCATTTTAGCACTTGCTGAGGGTTTGAGGGATTCCAATTAGAGTTGAATTCGAGTGTTCTGGGGAGAAGTTAGAATTAAGAATGCAATTATAGGCATTTTCGGGAAAGAGAATGGATTTCCGTAAGTAGGGGCATGGAAATAATAGATGTGAAGGTGCAAAGTGGTCTCTAAAGGTAAACCTCGGGGTATGAACTCGGTATTTGTATGTGAGTGTTTAGTAAATGAAATGTGATGTATGTTTTTGGTATTTCCCTTGATTATTTTTTCTTAACGCGTACACCTCTTTTTTAACGGTTTTTGTGGTTGCATGCTATAAACATTCTCAAAGCTATTTTTAAAAGTAAAATCAATTCATTTTGAATTCATATTCCGTACATGAGATATATCTAGTGCAT